GCTCTCGTGGAAGCGTGCCTCAGCAGGAGGTGGATTTGGATCCTTAAACTGGGAGTTGCTCCAAACACTGGGAGTTGCTAGTCTTGGTATGTTTCAAATTTCAGGCCTCGAGGGCCTCAACATCAGCCTTCAAGCTTTGGTCCTAGACATATGTGGAATGAAGCGATTGTTCCAGATTGAGGATCTTGAGTGTTTCATTCCGGACGAATTGGTGTGCCTGCGAAAAAGATCGAGGGGCTCTCGCAGTGAAGTCCTCAAACAGGAAATCAAATGAGTAGGCAGGGTCATTAGTGTGCTTGGGAGCCCAAGCCTTGCGTCCATCGATTACCCAGCACCGTTTCGAAGAGTCATCCTGGCGGTTTTTGTGATGTTTATATGATGCTATTATATATTTCATAAAGGTTTAGATTGTTCCGATTGAAACTCAATAAACGCAATGACAGGGGAACCTGTGAATCGTCAACATATTGTGGAGACTGCACAAGGGTGCGTGATCGCCACAAGTCCTGGCAAATGACAACTGATCAGATCTATGATTTGCCAAATACCTAGATATGAGAGTCTCCTTATTGTACTGATGATGGAAGCTGTGCCCATGCCCTTCCTGGTGCAATCAGGTCAAAGCAAAGCACTTGTTGTTTGAACATGCCCAGCACCGATGTCTCTCCTCCTCCCTGTAGGTTTCGGGAAACTCCGGTGTGGCCTGGAATGCAAATCTTACACTGCACCTGAGCATTCCCTCGTTCCATCTTGCCTGTCTCGGTCGTTTTTCTGAACGAGGTGGCGTGAGTATGTAGGGCGACCGGTCCTGAGAACCAACAACAAAGAACTTTCAATGCCTTGCAGCTTCAAACAGAAGTGGCCTGAGCATCGTGTGGCCAATCAAGTTCCAAACTCAAAGAGGCCTAAGGACATTTACCGATGAAAGACCAAATTGAAACTAGCTACAGATGTGTGCTGGGGTCTTGACCCTTGACCTTTTGAGAGGAGGTAATGGGCTCCTGCACCAAGTGAAGCCAAGTTAAACAGTTACGTCGTGTATTTTGAAAGATCTTTGGTCCTTCCATTACGCAGTGCTTCCATGCCCGGCGAAACTCTATTGGTGGGCCTCTTAACCCTTAAGCCCTGAAGCCAAAAGAACTAAGCGACTTGGTCTAATTTGCTCAACATCCAGTTCATGGCCCCGAGCAGGCTTGGACATTGTCTAAGCACAAACTTTTCATGGTCGAGGCCTTCGCCCCATCCTGGCAACAAACCTCATTTGAGGTAGCAGACGACGAACGGGTTGGGAGTCATTTGGATCCCAATTTGCCAAGGCATCAAAATCTGATTGAAGCCTGGTTGACAACCACGGGAGCTCAGGCACAGGATCTACTTCATGATGTGGCTGGCTTAGCATTACCAAGAAGTTCACTGTCCGTGCCGTTGACTCGATGGGGTTGGCGTTCAACAGGTGGTCAGCCAATGAAAGAAGCTTTTTGCGCCTCTCTAGGTCAAACACCTTCAACGGTCTTCCCACACTCGGAAAGCTGCCAAGCAGATTCAGGAAACACTGCGGAAAGATCAAGAGTGGCTCCTGGCACAACTGAGGCGTTTGAAGTGAAACTCACAAATGCTAGCACAGAAGCAAACTACGACAAGGGTTTCAGTCAAGCCTGGCTCAATTGTCTGTCGGATGCATACCTCTTCACAAGGCATATAATGTCGTTTGGGCTCTCAGGCCAATGATGTCGCCCAGCTCCATCAGCTACTATCTCGACATGAGGTGGAAGGTCTGCCAGGATCAAGTATGTAAAACTACATCATTGTGACCTTGAAACCTCACTGCAAACATCCCTGCCTCTCCGCCTTACAAATATGAAAGAGTGGGCCCCGGTGCAGTCGTCTCGGAGACCACCAGATACTGTTACTGGGGCCTTTTCAAGCCTCGGGCATCCATTCTGTAAAGTGATTGGGTCCATTACAGCGAACTTGAACACTTCACAACTAACAGCAACTCTGTGTAAGAATTGGCGCACCACTGCTTCCATGGCCGCACACTTCGCACAATATCCACCTTGATCTCGGCCGTCCCAAGCCACTTCTTCAGATCCAGCTGTGCCAGGATAGATTGAAGCTTCCTCAAGGGCAAGCGAATTGTGCCCCACGGAGTGAGAACACATCACAGACCATTGAGCTACAGACTCACAAATGTCATGGTCATCAACCATCTCGTCGATCCACTTTGTGGCCCGTGATATGACTCCATACATCTGATCTCAGCTCTCCAGACATACAAGTCAAGCGAGCCAAGTAAAAAAACAGGCTTCCAGGTAGTCATGAATTGCAACCAAGAAGCCTATTGCACAATGTGTATGCCCTACGCGGGCCATACACATCCCCCCCCACCTCCAGGCCCTTCTGTAAGATTGCCCAGCAAAGAAATTTGATGAAGCTGTTGTTCTTGCACTCCTTGACCGTGTTGTCCACCTTATACAGGAGAAAAAAAAAGATGCAGGAATAAGATGGAATGAGCACTTTCACTACTCACACTCATTGCCATCAAAGTGGCCCACAGAAAGATCTTTTTTGGTGGAGCTTTGCCTTTGTCCCGGCAAATCTGGACCACCTTCTCAAGGTCCCGACACAAACACTCGATAACCATGGAAGCGTCTCCAGCTTGACGGCAATCAATGCAATGGAGAGTCATGAGCACATTGTGGCACCATACGCCTTCGATTTTCATTTTTGGTCTGTCATACTTTGCCATTGCTTTTGTTGTGACATGCTCCCTGCATCTTGGTATGCACCATTTGGCCTGATCCATGCCATCCTCAGATGCTCTATTTTGGGGCCGAACGCTCAGAATGACTCAACAAAGGGTGTTGAAGCTCCTTGTGGCCAAGGATCGGCATGGATAAAAAGACAGGCATCATCATCGGTCAATGGTGAGCTCTCCTTTGGGAATCAAAGGCAACACACTTGTGCAACAAAAAACAAACAAAGGAGCTCTCCTGAAACCAACTTTCCAAATGACGATCAGCTGCTACAGCTTCGATGTGGGCTTTGTATTGTTTGGCAACTTCGAACTTGTCCAGCACATCCTGAGCTATCACTCTTTAAGGTCTGAAGAAAGTCCTGATAACAAGCCATAACAAGCCTAATGCCAAGCTTCCCTGCAGTCATGGAATGCACTTTTGTATGCTGTGCAGTCGTCGCAGGCTGGAAAGTTGCTGGGGTTCGAGAATCTGAGAACTGATGCCCATTTGGATTTGTATCTTCGCGCAAAGTGGCTGTACCTCATCCCAACCAGGCATGCGAAAAGATACTGTGGCAAATGAAGAACACAAAACCTCAGTGCGAACCGGGTGCGACACCTTGAAGGAGCATTGAGAATGCAACATTGCCACATTGCCTGGTGGCAAGTGCCGGACAGGGAGCATGGATGGATCCTGGCCCACGTTCGTATCTGTGAACCTTAACTGAACAGTGAACATTTGGTTATGCAAGGAGGAACGTTAAACAAACAAAGAAAACAAATGAGGTCTTGGCTGCGTCCACAGCATTTTGTGGCCGAGCACATGCAACTTCAAATCCAAATCGGATTCAATGCTTTCTGCAGGGATGGTATCAGCATCATCGTCGGGGCCAGAATCTTCTGACACTCCTTGATGCATGCTGGAGAAAGCTACCTTTGTGTGTCCTGCCATGCACTAATGCCAACAAAGCATCCATCATCCTCCTCATGACCGCGGCATCCATATTGCACAATCACGTTGGAGACAGGTCGTTTCTGCATAGATTCTCGAAGACGAGCAGCTCTTTGAAACCTTAGCAGGACTACAAGTTGAATCGATCGCGAACAGCAGTTTTTGGACTCAGGCTGATTGAAGCAAGGGGCTTTGTTGGCAGCATACCACCCTGATCTATGTAAACTTTCAAGAAGAACCAATCCAGCTTCATGGAAAGAAGAGGAGCCCGCTTCTTTACCTGTATGGGCTGAACTCATGACCCAAACAGAGGTGATTGCAAAGCACTCTCTATACCTCTCTATCATGCAGCTGAATTGCTGCTCCAAAGCATCTGTACCGTTTGTCCATGTGCCCACTCTGACAGCTTTTGAATCGTTGGGGCCTCACCCCCATCAAGGCTGCCAGACAATGCCGTGAGATCTTATTGCCCAGAAGCTCCCACTGGCGATTTCCCGGTGCAAGGCCAGCCATGCAGAACGAGATCTAAGCCGGTCAACTTGTGTTCAAAAGACTGCCCAAAAGACTAAACATGAAGTCATGAATTGCCAAACAAATGAGCCTCAAACAAACTGATCTTGGCTGGGTTTCTCCAAAGTCCAAAACCCATCGAGGAACTCATAGACTGATTCAGAATCTTGTCTCTTGAAGCAGCCCCTCTTGCAAATGCACGGCTGGAAGAGTATCTGATTGATTCGCGACCGATCTCTTCCATTGTCAGAGTGCCTTAAGTCCATGACTTGTCCATCTACAAAAGATCTTCAAGATACTCAGTTGTTGATGCTACTATGATGTGGAAAACCTTTCTTCAAACATGACAAGATACCTCATTCTCTCCACCGGATTGGCGCATAGTTTTCTTTTTGTGCTGTTGTAATTTGGCCGAAGTCTGGCTTCTGGTCGCCCTGCTTTGAAACTTGCAGCTATCATCTGGCTTCCCTTAAACTCTCGAAGTTTCTGTATCGAAAACGATATCACCTCGGTCTTCACCTTGGTTTGAACCTGATTGGAGGTTGCACCATCATCTCTTAAAGATGCCAAGAACCTCCTTCTCTCAGCAGAACCATGGCTGGAGAGTTCCATAGCTTCTTCTTGAAGCCAAAAAGCTCCAGGAGATCAAAGGATCAAATAAAACGAAAAAGGGATCGATTATAACGAAATCGACTTAATATATAATTAGCCATCAGATCGAACCCCAGTAGGGTCCTATAAGGTCCCGTATATAAGGTCACTTAACCTCTGTTGGCACCCGAAAAATCAGCTCCAGGCGGCGGATGAGCTCCGGTGGCCACGATCACGGCGTTGCTCTGAGACGGCGCGACAGGAAGTCTGCTGTTCGAACGACCCACCCACTGGAACGACATTCGAATGAACCCATTTTTCGTTCCAGTACATTCCATCAAGAAAGACAAGTTACTAGTTTACATGTGCGTATCTATTTTGGTTGGAATGAACAGAATAACAATGGTTCACAAGGGTCTCTAGAGCACCCTGTGCGAGGTGCTGGAAGTGTTTTTTCTTTTGTAAAAGAAACCCATGTCCAGGGCCTTGCAAGCTCTTGTTAGACTCTACCTAGTCATCTATAATCAGCCTATGTTGCAACAAAGCTTCGTGGCTTGTAGCCCAAAAGTGTGGGACTGGAGGGCTGTTGGGTGGCGAAGTGCTCAGACCATACCTCTTTCCACCACTCTCAAGATATATGATGCGAAAGCATGGGTAGTTTTTTGCCTTTGAATCGGGAAACTGTGAAAAACCATGGTGGAGGCCTAATTAAGGATACTTTGCACGGACTTCTCATCAGCTTTTGGTTGCCATCTTGAGTTCGGAGCGACTTCCTAGTTCCTTTCCACGCGAGTCATTCTGCAAGTACCCATGGAGTCCAAGCATGGAAGCAATGCCACGGTCGACTGCTTGTTTGGAAGCAATATGAAGCAACGCACCAGTCTTGAAGAATTCTTCATTACCACAATAGCACCTCTTCAACCACCTAGGACCTAGGTAGGCAGGATGTAGTACAATCCAGTACATATGCCAGTCCCATGGTTTGCATAGAAAAAAACAATATCCATGAAGCAAATCCGTCAGCGACATGGTACTCTCTGCTCCCATGTCAGTTTTTTCCCCCAAGACACAAACGTCACTGGTGTCAAACTAAAACATGCTGAAAGAACAAGTCAAACAAACCCATCCAATGCCTTCACTGAACGTTGGCCACGTTCTGATTGAATGGTAGCTTCCCAACCAGAAGCGAGAGGTTTCCTGAGGCGCCGGCCGGAAAGCCATCGGCCAAGACGGACCGATAGACGTCTCGGACGGACCTCTGCGTGGCGCCTGCCTACCCGCGCCGGCGCCCGCCTGCATGGGGCAGGACATCTGGTGTACCAGGAGTGACAAAGGGGTGGGTTTTTGGGGTTCCTAAGTGAATGGATAATGGAGACCCCTTTCCTCCAAGCCAATACGCACCCCTTTTGCAACTGGCATGTCTTTGTTCTCGGGAGAAACAGTCTGCGCTTGAAGACAGCACTGCGCGCTGGGCGAAAAGGGAGCTACCATTGTATTTCAAAGGAACAAAGGAACAACATGTCCAAGTCGAGCTTCACCAGTGAGGAGCTGAGCTCGCCTTCAATGAATTCCAAAGCTCCATAGAACCGCTACAATCGCCCATCCGGGATGACCGGAACATTGCTTCAACACACCAATTGGACCTGCCTATCTTGTGAGCTAGGTGTTGTTACACGTTTGCTTTCGGTTTAAACCCTAATGTAGACCTTTGATTAATCATCTAACCCTCAATAAAGCTAAGCAACTGCACAAAGCTGATTTTAAATTAACCCTATATAACCCTAAATAAAGCCAGTGCCCTCTAGATGGTCCATGTCATTCTGAAATCCAAAAATCAGTAAAACTGGAAAATGATTTTTCTTTGGTGTCGTTCAGGGGGGTGACGGGGGTTATTAGGACTTGAATTCTAAGTATCCTTTGTCTATTCTCAAAGACACTCTCTCCAACGCCTGCCAACCCTTGCACCATTTTTCTTTTCCAGGTGCAACAAGTTTGTTGCCCCTGTCCTGTCTGCATATTTTGCATTTGTATTTGTTGCGTCCATGAACACAACCAGCACAGAAAGGACAATTGCGATGGGTTTTCCCATGCTCGCAGCTGCTGCACTTTCTACAGTTACGCTTGTACTTGCCATGTGGACATGGTTTGCACTTCTCGCAATATGACTTCAGCTTGCCATGTGGGCAAGGAGTGCAAATGCGACACATGTCTCGCCTCTTGCTGTGTGGACAAAGAACGCGCCTCTTGCTAGCAGGAGCAACGTCCACCTCTGCACCAACATCGGAAGACAAGCCACACTTGACCCGCAGCAATCGCCACTGCTTCTCACAAGCGACCTTGCGGCTTCTGTCGGCTGAGTCAAATTCCTGACGCAGCAGCGATTTGAGAAACTGCAAGGCTGGCTGAACCTTGGAATCATCCAGCTCCAAATAATTCAAGCATCTCAGAACAATTGTCCGAAGCCGAACTTGGAAATCTCGCTTCCCTCCACGTGGCTGCGGCGAACCTGCAAAGGTTCCAAATTGATTTGCACCATGTGGTGGCGACAATGCGGCCACAGCTCGCCGAAAAATGAAGCGGATCCGGCAAAGGTCATCATCTGCGTCATGCAGTGATCGCTCCAGCGAAGCAACATATTCCTCTTGCTTTGTCTCACAGGTGGTGTTTCTCCAAACAAGTATCGCTTTGTTCATCAGCTTGGCTGCTTTTGCAGCCTTGTCTGGAACAACATGCCCGAGCTCTTTCAATAGGCCGGGCCATTGCAATTCAAGGTCTGAATGGGATTGGATCCGTTCCCAAACCTTTGTGAGCACTCTCACCAAGTGATCACAAATCGATTCTGCATCCTTCAGCACACGCAGGAAGTTCTGCAAGAGAACCACTGCAGACAATCCATTGTACTGCGATGCCATCTGCTCAGCTGGAAGCTCTGCGACCCACGCAGCCACGTGAAATGCATGCTTCTGCAGCTCGTCTGACTTGAGTGACATGTGAAGGGACTGCTCGTATCGTTTCAACACGTCTTGCGGTGGTTTACCCTGAAAGCGCTGTGCATGGTACCTGAGCCTCTCATCAAAGGTTCTTGGAGCCATGGCAGAATCAAGCAGTATAAGGAGAATTGAGACTAGCCTCAAAAGGCAAATATTTGGTGATGAATGCGAGCTGTTGCAGAACTGCCCCATTTCACTGCAACATTCATCTTCCGCCATATCTAGCATCATTCCCTATGATATATAACTATCGCACCAAAAAGCTGCAGAGTGCTTGTCAGTTGCAGATCAGCCTTTGCTACAAACTGGATGATCCAATGGATGATGCTTAGTAAACACATGTCAACACCTTTCCCATCCTTTCCCCCGAAGAGTGATTACCCTTTACCAAGTTTTCTCGGGTTAATGGGATAATATATACATAGCTAGCTTTTCACATATGCATATGTTCACGGGAAAACACACACACACACACCCAGCCTGTGGAATTGGGAAAACGGAGTATGCCTTCGAAGTATTGTTCTCCATGGAACCTGCGCCTCTCAGAGTCCGATACGTCTCAGGCCCGTGCGACCGAACCGAACTGGATAGACAAACAAAATGAGAAGAAACACCATGTGGGCACACGATGTTGCTTGGAGTAAAACAAACATATTCACCAAATTTCACAAACATCACCCAACAAAAACAAAAAACAACAGGCAGTTACAAGCATCAGGCAGCCATTGAGGGTGTTTGATGCACTTTGGGGAACACTGCTGTGTGCAACTTGGCTTCAAAGTCATCACTTTTCCACGAAGATGGGGCACTCCTTGGATACTCGCGCGGAGGCGTCTTGGGCCCCTCTGCGCTCATGCGCGACGTCAGGAGAAATCCTCCGTTTCGAAGGGTGGGACGTGGCTGGGTGGGTGGTCTTGGGGGATCCAAACAAGCACCGATTCTGATGGGAGCGGAGGTCTAGGAGCCCGGGTGCAGGGTGCTATTCAATGGTCTTCTGGAAGCTTTAAAGGATCCGCCCCCCCAAAAAAAAAGACTTGATGCATCTTGTTTCAAGCTTTGAAGCTACAAAACCACCAAAAAGGCCTTTCCAAAACTCTTGACCCACAAAGAGGTTGAAGCTTTATCGACGTCTATCAGATCCGTCTCCGAAGTCCCTTCACTTCTTCTCTCCTCCAGGTGGCCCACTTGCATGAGTTGCTCTGTGGCCATCTGGAAGACATCTTTGCAATAGCCCAAGGAGGTCCAGCCCATGGTCGAAGGATCAATACCTGAGTCCGAAAAAACCCAACCTCTGAGACCCTCCCAAGGAGTCTGGCTGATAGTGGCACGCACCGGAAGTCGGTGAGCGGCGAGGTCGACCGATGCGAGATGCAGACTGTGGGGAATGCAAGCAGGTTACAAGCAAGAAACCACTGGACACTTGTTAATGCAAGCAGGCTACACACACAAACAAACAAACAAGCCTTGTAAAAACATGTTTGTCCTTACTGCGCTCCATGGTGCCCAACAGCTACCCTGGCAGAACACATCAGGGATGGTTCCAAAATTCTCAGACTCTCAGCAGCTCTCGACTCTCAGCTGCTGAACTGCTGCCGAACTGCTGCCGTTCAATTGATGTGCCGAATCCTTCAGCTTTTGAAAGGCCTCGCCGACGTTCACCTCCTGAACGTCACGAGGTGAACGTAGGGGGGGAAGGCTACAGGAGTCCAACCTAAGAGCGATGACCTCCAACCTAAGAGCGATGTATTCCGCCAGTAGTCACATGATCTATCACAGATCAGCGGCATGCGCGAATTCCTCCCACACCACTCTCCTTGCCGTTGAGCAAAGGATGGCCAAAATTCTTCCGGGATGCCTCAGCTTTCGCCGGACCCACGAGCTGGAATGCTGGCTATGCTGCTGTGCCCAGTCTGTCTGTTTAAAACGTGTCTGCTGAAGATTCTTCAGCATTAAACAACTCAATGTCTGGCCCCGGGCTCCAGCTGGCTAGCTCCAAAAACGAGCAGGGTTGCACAAAAACCTATCACAAATCACAAGTCAAAGGGCTGGAGCCCTTTGACTTGAATTTTGGCACGTGTGAATCCAACAGTGGTTGAGTGATTGGTTGAGTGGACGTACCGTCCAGACCAAAAGTCCCATCTTTGAGGATAGGTGTAAAGGAGCATTATTGTTAATCAAAGTTGAAAGCGGAAACAACACAGACAAACAAACAAACAACCAACCAACCAACCAACCAACCAACCAACCAAACAAACAACACAAACAAACAAACAAAAAACAAAAACAAAATAAGCAAAACAAAGCAAACAAAGCAAGCAAACAAACAAACAAACAAACAAACAAACAAAACAACACATAAACAACACCGATACACCTATAATATATATATATATTGTTGACATGGTGCCATCGACAGAAACAAGTTGGATGACACAGGACGAAACTCCAACATGTCCCGCACGATCTTACTCCTGTGTTCTTGGAAGAACCTCCAGTAACCAACCCACCCACACACACACACCCTCCTCTCACCCTCCACCTTCTTGCTGCCCAGTCCGGTCCTCCAAACACCATTCTCTGCTTCCCTCAAACGTCGTTGCCCAACCAAACCTCGCCGACTCGACTCAGCGTCACGCCTCGATCGATCACTGTCTTGAGTCTCGATCCGCCGCGACGAGTACCGACGAGGACCGACGAGGTGCGAGGATGTCCACCTTGGTGTTGCACGGGACCTCCCCAAAGCGCGCCAAGCGCCCGGAAGAGAACTCGGGATCCACCCACAGCACGCGCCTGATCCGGTTTCAAGCAAGCGGCTGAAGCAAGGGGATCGAAGAGGGTGGTTGGTGTTCAAGAACAACATGAAATCGCAAGAAACAACACGTGCTTCTGTTTGTCTGTGTATGGCTTGGGTGTGGTTTAAGAACATGTTAAATGTTTAAACATTGATCTCAAATTGACTTGGTTCTCATGGTGCCCAATCGCAAATGAATGAGATGGGGCTTCTCGCCCCGTGACGGGGCGAGTCCCATCCTGACACCACAAGAGAGTTTGTGGCTTCAAGGCTGGGCTGGCAAATCATGAGGAATGCAGCAAATGATCGGCATATGAGGCAATGTCCGAGCTTTCCAGCCTGCCCCGTGCCCGCAAGGCCACAACAGCAGAGATCCCTGCCGGTCCTGCAGCTTTTGGCTCATGTGTATCTGTGGGGGTTCACCACTTGAAGGACGCACTTCATCTCCACTTGGTATTGGAATCAGAAGAATGTTCCAAGACCGGGTTACTTGTTTTTATCAACTTGACTTGGGGTCTATACTATATATATATATAGTTACAAAACAGAAACAACATTGTGTTCAACTATCCTGGGCTAAGCATGTCTCACGCATTATCTTCCATTAATTAGTTTTAGTTTTAGTTTTTGTTTTTAAATAATATTGTCTTATAATGGTCTTCTTTCTTATACCATTTACTGTAGTACACTGTCATGTGGAACCTTTGCCACACACCTGCTATTTCCCACCACTTCCAACAATCCCCATTTGGTGCGCTGAACTCAAAACCGGATGGATGGGGCTCCAATCGCCCAGGGGCCACCGTGGGGCCGACCCGGGCAACCGACCTAGTAGGCCATGGGGTCTCGGAGCCACGCGGGTGACGTGCCCGAAGTGATTCATGCCATCCCAGCAAACACATGGCGGTCCAACACACACCTCGTGTTGGTCGTGTGGGTCGAGCGAGCCGCTAGTCTTCCGCGAGAATCAGCCCGAATTCAGCGGGCTGTCGGGCGGTCCTGCACCCACCACCAGCACCTCCGTAGAGATGGGAGTCGGCGCTGTAAGCCATCCGCAACAACTGGAGACACCTGCTGTTTCTAAAAAGGACGTGCGCTCTTTCCGTGTTAAGACTTGGTCTAAAACATGGCGTCACGGAGTATTGGGATGGTCCTTTTTTACATTTCGCTTTGGGGTTGAGTTCATGTCGATTTAAACGTGCAAAACCATAACACTGAATCATGCATGTGCTTCCTCCACAAGTGACATAGCAACCTACTCATTGGTTGGGCAATGATTCTTTTGTGCCAGGCCTTTGTTACTATGCTTTCTGATATACAGAATAATTAACTTATATATATATATATATACCAGGAGTCACAAAGGGGTGTCCAATGAAGTACCCCACACTACCTATAGGCTTCCATTGGGCACCCCTTGGAGGGTCCTGGTATATATTGGTTCTTCGATGTTCTTCGGTATGCTGCCTTCCACTCTCAATTTGTGAACCCAGCCTCCCATCGCTGCCGGACAGCACAGAAGAAGCCCCAAGAAGACAGCACGTGGCTATGCAGGTGGCTACGAGTTTTGTCTATGTATGTTTTTAGTTGATAACACATCGACATCATTCAGTCTGCTCGCTTGCGATTGCACCCTCGCTTCTCAACATGCTCGTTGGTCCGGTCCTCTTCACATGAAGCCTCCCAGTTCCGAACTCTGGAAGTCAAAATCAACGTCCAGGCTAAATGAGGCTTTCCTTGCGGACTAGATGAACTTCTTTTCTTTGCTCTCGAGCCAAGGCTTGGTCACGTGGATCCGAGCGGATGATGACCAAGGACCATAAGCCATGCGATTCCCGCTTCCCGCTCACGTCCATGCGATTATTTGTTCTGCCACGGCTGACCGATGCTGACCAATGCCACAGCCCTTAAAGTCACAACAACAACAACAACAACCCCTATGGATCCAAGTATCTTCTCAGAAGGTGCTTGGACCCTCCAAAACTACGTAACAGTGTCTCCAATCACCGTACCTGAGGTTCGGTACGACTGGATCCCCTATACGGAACAACAACAACAGCTCCGTATCGTCCAATCACCCAGCATCCCCAGACCTCGTCATCCTTCTGGTCTCCAAGAGAAAACACCAGCACCCCCCCCCCCCAGGCAATCCATCCATCGTCGGGCGACCCGGAAGACTCTCTGACTGCGTCTCACGAACTGACCCTTCGTCAAGCTCAGGAGCGAAGACAGGAACACTTCGTCTCACTACCCTCGCCTCAACAGAAACTCCGCCAAAGCCTGTCCCACTCGATGCTTCCCATCCTGCCGAGTCCGGAACCGCCCACGGGTTCGTGGCGGGGGCAGAGTGCCGGGACGGGTGCGGCGCCGGTCGGAGACCGTCACCCCAAGCACCAAGACCGGAGGAACTGGCACTGGTGAGGACACCAATGCCATGGTCGGAGAAGCTCAACCCCCATCCGTGTTCTTGTCTGTGGGCAAAAGGACAAGGAACACCGCCTCTCGTCGGAGAGTCCACAGCGCCGAGAGTCATTCGTCGGGATGGCAGACTGAGGACCAACAGGGCTCGGAGAGGGAGAGTGAATCACTGGTTGCAACCCTCTGGCGGAATGGATGTCGATGTGATCAACTCCATGCCTGTGAGGGACGAGTACGTTGTCAATTCCAAGTATCGTTTGAAGTGAGTGATTACTCCTATCTGACCCATCCAGTAAAGGAAACAGCACAACTGCAAGACTTCTCTCGCTATTGAAGTCCCATACATGTCAACTTTGGAGAGTTCATGTAATGTAGACCCCAAACACTCCATGTATGCATATGTATGCTATATATGCCTACATTGGGGGGTCAATGTAGGCATATATATGGCAGTCGCATTAGTCGTCTCTGGGTTCTACACCCAATTTCATTTCACTGAACTTCAGTCAACAAACCTCCCCTCCCCCACGCGCGCACGTGGCCGGCGTTGGGCATATATGAACACCCCGTTCGCTTGGTCCAAAAAGGGTCCAAACCGGCAGGTGGTGGGCGGTCCCCGGGCACCGCTCCTGGAACATGGTGAGCGCCTCTCGCGACGTGCGCTCGGCCTGCTTGGCATCTTCTTGCCTAGCGCAAGAGTGCAAGCAGGTCTGGGTCTGGTCTGTTGAAGGATTCCAGGATTCCTGCACATGCCATGGGTTTTCCCACTTTTTGGCCGGTTGCTTTGAAATTCTATCCTTCACCAGGAATACTTCTGGGAATTTCTGGGGGACATCTGCAACATCTTCTCGTGCAGCACAAGAACTTTCATCAGCCTGAAACAAACAATTGGGAGCCTGGCCTGCTCCACCATCTTCCACCCCAGACCAAAACCCACCACCCCTCCAATCCTCCAAAAAATCACCTCCACAACCCACGCCCACCCGGCATAGTGGATAAGCGCGCGCTTTGCCGGATTTGCATGCGCATGTTTGGTACGTATGGAGGGCGTATCGATCCGGGTTCGGGCGTCAAGTATGGGCCTCAAGTATGCCAAGGTCAAGAGGCTGCTGGCAAAGCCTTGGCCCACTAAGCAGCCCTGGAAAGCCTCGAAGGACTCCTTGGCCACTGGGAGCGCCTCAGAGATGACACAGATGACACGGCTGGATGGATGGATGATCCAACCGGATGGCATGTCAAACCCAAGTAGATCCCAGTTACCTCGATCTATCTACGGAACCAGGGGCCCTCGTTTGGTCGCGAGGTCGCCGCGTTTGGTTGGAGGATGTTTGTCGATGATGGAGAGGTTTGGGTTCTTTAAGTCATCTTCCTTTCGCAGTCGTCCCATGTGACTCCCAACTCCGCATCTCCAAGAAGCAGAAGCTGTGGAGGAAGCCAGTTGAGCTTTGGCCAAGGAAACCAAGGCCAAACCTTCGCCCAGGGGATCTCCTCAGACTGCCCCAGGATCAGGTAGGAAGAGCGACCAGGGCACTGCCAGGGCCAGTGGGCAAGTTCTTGCCCCGAAAATCGGGGGGAAACCACATGTTCCACGCTCAAAGCACTGATCGGGTATCTTCGGCAACCTTGCCCGATGTTCGAGGAAAGGGCCCAAACTGAGAAGACCACGAAGCCAACCAACCGATGATCCGACCTCCAGTTCACCCTCCACCCATTGGTGCCCAGTCTCGTCCTTTCCCGCGCGGCCGTTTCGGTAGTGATAGTGGAGAGTCTATCCGATAGGTACCTCAGGTTACGGGTCCTATATCACCTCTGTTGGAGAGTCTATCCCATAGACCTTCAACAAACCCAGCTGTTCCTAGCTACTTCGACTCTCCCATAGGAGGACCTCTAACCTGTAGGTCGTACCCATAGGCCTACCACGAACTCCGACAGATTCCGACACGTTAGAGGTCCAGACTAGTGCTAAAAGAAACGATAACTGAACCTCTCTTGGCCAAGTCTCTCAAGGTTCCGAAGAGTTGCTTCGCCTCTGTGGCCTTCGCTTTGGCCTCGTCTTCCTCGCTGCTCGCGCTCACCAGCAGCAAAGCACGAGCGACGCCCTCCTAGGAGCTGTGCAAAAAAAAAGGGGGTACCAAGGAACGCGTGAAGCTACATGCGATGAGCACTTGTTTGAGGCAAGCTTGAGGATGAAGCCATGGTTTTTCTCTTTTTTTCTCACATGTCCCCCCCAAACACACCTCTTTCAGAAGACCATCACCGAATCCGGTTTGAATCAGTTTGCCTCTTTTGCAACTGTTTTAAAGACCAACTGTTTGGGCCCACACATTCGAGGACCGGTTTTCCTGGACAGCTGTGTTTTCCATATAGCAACCTCCGCATAGAACCGCGAGATGTGTTGTAAGGAGAGACAGGTCTAAGACATGTTGTCGCGGTGCTTCTCCGTCAACATCCACCAACTGGATACTCTATCAGCTCTTTGAGCCCTTGATGTAGACATAAAACACTCCATAGCTCCCATTATTTGGATTCAACAACCCCTTCACATGGGTTCTTGAAGAGTCTACATGCAAAGGTCTTACCCAATTACAAGGCGTGTGTGACTTCGAATGCCCTTCCCTCAAAGCGAGTCAGGTGAGTGCGGTCGGGTTGCAAAGGCAATGCCACAGCTGCGAATGGGTTGAAGTGAGTGCGGAAGGATGTAACACAAAGCTCCAACAGTGCGAGCTTTAAGAACTGACCTGCTTGATTGCAAGGTTTCTGTGTATAAACAGATTGATTGGTTGCATCATTTTGCATCATCTGTATATAATCCTCTGATCCTGGATGCAAGTGGGGTACAGTGTGTGCGTGTGTCCGTGTACCAAACAACTGTAGGCACAAACGGAAGGGATCACAAAGGTCTGGGAATCTAGGCCACACCACCAAAGTTCAACAGATTATATATATAGGGCTGTGACTAGGGCTGTGATGGGCTGTGCAATGTCCAAGGCACTTTCACTCCACGCTTTCGTTCCTTCTCCAGCAAGTCCTCACAAGGCACAGCATGTAATAGGTCAGGAGCTTCTCTACAGCATCCACTGTGTTCAAATAGCCCAGTGCAAGACTTTTGGCGGCAAACATGGTTTCTCAGAGTCGGGTATATCAACACCCAAATAGATAGAAGATCGTAAATCCACACTATCATATAAGAATGAATGTATTGGAAAACGTGCCTATCTACTATAGACTATATAAACCAATATTATAGACTAGAGTGTGGTTTTTGTTTCGGAGCTTCATTGACCTCCACGCCCGCAGGACACTCGCGCGCGGAGAAGCTGAGCCGATCTCCCAGCGACCCTCATCTCCTGCGCGGCCTTCAGGGCGGAGACCGGCTTTCCGATCGCGAAGCTGATCTCTTGGAGGGCTCCCAGCAGCAAGATCTGCCCATCCTTGGAGTGTGCGAGGATGGACCGAGGATGGACTGAGGATGACTTGAAATCAAGAGAAAACCACCAAAACTCACAAGGAAAAACCAATGTATATATGGACACTCCCTAGGCGAAGGGCTCCTGTCCCCATCTCAGGTTCGGTCTTCGACCCCTGATCCACCCTACACCGAAACGGAGGGGACAGCCAGAAGCCCATAGGGACCGATCGCCACCGGTGGGACGGAAAGTGACTCCATCTCACCCACCCGCCACGTCCAGCCCCAGAGCCGCGGAAGGTCAGCGGCGGAACGTTCCTGCTTGAACAACCTGTCACTATAAGAACAAGGACACTACTAGGGGCTCCTGGCCGTACTAGCGGCTCAGCGGCGGAACGTTCCTCCTTGGAGCTTGAACCTGTCACTCACCGGAGCAGCCGGAGAGCAGGGCAGACGGTCGCCTACCAAGCGGTCACTCTAGACATCTGGGTTCGACCTTCAGCAAGCTCTTTGAAGTCTAGCAACCTCTTGTGATCCTGACATGATCATGCCTAGATAATTTTATTATGAACAACATCCAGTTCTTGAATTCTCCGCTGCACCGGCTTCACCCCATCATTCGGGGTCTGGTCCCGCCGTTCCGAAGCCGCCGCCGCCGCCAAGCTGTTCGTACGCGTTGACGTCTTCGCGACCGCCTCGGCCGAGCGTCTGCATCTTTGAGCGACTTCAAGGCCGTCTCCACCTTGCGCTCGGCGGGGCCCTGCTCATCGTTGGCCAAGGAGGCCAATGCTGTGCAGCCATCGGCCTTGGGGTAGGGTCAAGGTGCCCGGGTCGCTTGGGAAAAAAGTGTCTGTTGGCCATCTGACCCCCACAGCTTTCCTGGAAATTAGAGGTTACACCTTTTTCACCTGTTTGATTTGAGTAGGAAACCAATCCCAAATTGGTTACCCACCGACTGGACAGGACATATATGATTGGCAGTCTTTGCAAGGTTGGCATGTGTGAGTCTGGTTCCTAAACGATGAAAACGTCGCCACGTCCTCATTCCCATTCCAACCATGTCAAAAAGTCTTCGTTTCGTTCATGATTGCTTCAACTGACTCCAAAGTAGGTTGAACTGGCTCCAAAGTCGCTTGAGTTGGAGTCACCTGACCCCCCCAAAACCCCCCCACCACCGCCCTGGACTCCTCCCAAGCAGACTCCGTCCCGGGACGATCCCGACCAAGCTACATGGACCAACCATTGGGCCTCCAGGTGCGCAGGACCCATCCCCATACACTCCCCAGGTGCGGGGCCCTGAGAAAATCCTGAGAAGAAGACACCGTGTTCTTCCTACACCCCCCCCAGATCACTATATGGAACATGAACAGAATGGACTATGTACTGGGGGGCTCAAGCTATCAAGATCTATCAAGGGTTCAGGGTTTTTCACGGCCACCAGTCTTCAGCAAGGAGCCCTTGGCCGAGTGGCTAAGGCCAGAATCACTGGATCTACCTTGGCTTCTTGGCAAATCCCTGCTACCTCCTCACAGCAGCGGAGGGCTTCATCGCTGTCGCTGCGCAGCCAGCAAGCGCTCATCATCGTCTGGAGCAAAGGCACCTGCGCAGCCGGCACGGAGGCGGCTTGATGGAGGAATTCTCGCGAAAAAGGACACTGACACCAAGCGGAAAACGACCAGATTTGACCGATAGGATCTGATAGGAAGAAACTATCCTCTTGCGATTACACCGGTGGAAGCACCAAGCAAATTCCTGCGATTGAATGCATCCGAGATCCAACAAATTTCTAGTAAGCTTGCAAAGTGGACAAAGGGATCAACATGCAAGGAAACCCTGCTTTGCATATGTTTGTGTTGTTTTCTTTTGCCGCAGCGACAAGCTGTGTGATCAACTTGGCCAGCTCTGCAAGGAACAACGTGAACAACGTGACAAAGCAAAACAGAAACAAAACAACACCGAGGGGCTCCAGGGGCTCAAGGCAGCATAGTGCAGAACATCCAGCATCAAACGTACCACAAAGCACTTTTAGTTACACACGAGTTAAATTACCACACGTTTCAAGCAAAACTACACAATCAAACACAGTAACCACACAAACAAGCTGCCATCCTTAGGAAAAGAACTGTCAAGTCATTTTTCAATATCCTCACCCAGTCCAGAACTCCTTTTTTTCGAACAATCCGTGGTCAACTTGCTTTCCAAAACCCGGGAGACTGAGATGAACCACAAACAAAGCATGGGAAAGCGTTGTAGAACGTGGATGTTGGTCTGGGGACACGCAACCCATCCATATGGACCACTCCATTTTGTGCGGGGATCTTTCAAAACTTCACCCGGGTGAAGAGACCTCCGAAGGTGGGGCCACGAAGGAAGGGCCGCAACGGCCCAGGGCCGCAACGGCCAGGCGTAGGCGACGGCTGCACCTCGAAGATCTTTTGCCCACCCATGGAGCGAAGTGCATAAAGACCCTGCGATGGCCGCGGAGATGGAGATGGAGGCGATGGAGCAACGGAGCTGAGACGTGCCACTGAGTGAAACACTGAGTGGAAACTCAGATGGTGATGGCACAGAAGGACAATGGCCGGATCATGGTCATGGTGGATAGTACTTGTGTGCCATTCCTCAATGATGAAATCGTCTGAAACACACCAACGAATGCAAAGCATGGACTTAATAGAGGATTTGTCTGGAACATATGACATATTGGTAAGTGGTGAGTGGGAATTCAAGCTAGCTTTTGGATTTTGTTGAAGAACCTCAAGGGATGGATAAGCTAGCTCCAAAGTGGCTCCCTCCGAGCCACACACCTCTATATAGCAACAAAATCAGGGATGCCATCTTTTGGGAGACGAGCAAACAGGTATAGGCCATGAAGTGATGGATTCGTGTGGGGTTGAGTTGGATGGCAGGTCAAAAAAGGCCAAGCTGGGATGGGTCAGCTTCGCAAAGACCAATGGCATCATTCAGCGACGAGTTCAGTGGCAAGCGATTCTGAATGATCGCTTAAGAAGCATGTGCTATGCACCAACAAAACGGTGCTGTCACTTTTGTACCCAAAGTGCCATGACAAGTTCTACCGAGGACTTTGAAGAATGCGAGTTATAAACGAAGAGATCAACTGCTTAGTAGAGGTGTTCGGGCACGGACTCTGGGGGCTGCATCTGAACGACTCGGGGGCGATTGCATCCCGGTGTCCGACAAAAATGACCTCGGATGACTCGGATGCTTCCCTTTCACCTTCCAAAACCGAGGGAAAGCGAGACCGTGTTGGTTTCACGGAGCGTATGCACGGCCGCCTGTTTCGCGGCTCGCAGGGCATCTTTCCCATGGCCCATCAAGATGTGCACATTGGCCTCGGGTGGCTCCGCACTCGGCACGACGGCGACGGCACCGGGGACGTGCCGGGCACCAGGAGAGGAGAGGTTTTGGAGCGGGGCCGCGGGGCCACGGGGCCGCCTAGGTAGTTCGGTCTGGTACCGGTGTCGGGCGCAGAGTCGTGGGTGTTCAGCACATCGGTGAGATACGCCTACTTTCAAGAGAAGGTCCACTACACTGGTTACACTGCAGCTGGCTTGTGGATGCTGTGAGCTTTCGCAATAGTGTTTATTTTTTTTTGAGTGCTGAGTATAGGAACTTCCGGTTTCCCTAAACCTACTAGCATTGCCTTGAATGCCTTAATGCATGCAGCTCAATCTACCCGACTTCTCTGCAGAGATTTGTAGGGTAACCTATTCTCCCATCAAGGATATCCTGAGGTGCACTCAGCCAAGTTACTCACCCTCCCTGAATCATGACAGGCTTCGGTGGCTGCAGCCACCTGGGCCCTTCTTCTCACCCTGTTTGAAGCGCCCCTGCCTAACGCTAGAGTTCTGTGAATCTCCAAAAACCTACGACACAGATCTGCTTCCGATCTATTTCGTCGAGCACCCGCCGAACAAACAAAGAAAACGTATACGTTTGGCACTCCCAGGTGTTGGCGCCCAAGCTTTCCACGAACGGAACACTGGTTTTGCATCATGAGACCGGCAGATCTGGATGGATCCCCATTTGGGGGCTCCCCTTTTTTGGGGGAACCCTTTCGAAGGTGATCCTGGAGGTTTAACCGGTCCGGTCTCAAGATCGCTCCGACGCGCAGGGACCCGTGTCCGTGTCCGGAACCTGCGACGGGATCCGAACTCATCGAACGACTCGATCTGCTGAGGTGCCAAAATGTTCAGGGCCACTGCTGTTCCAGCTTTGTCCTCTTCCTTGGGAGAGTTGTTCGGACCCAACCAGTTGGGGGCGAAGAAGCGTGAAGACAAAGGAGTGCTGGTGCTGGAAGGACTTGGGGTCTGTGACTTATAAACATCATGAGCTTGAGCACCTGGAATGGGGACAACCATGCCAAGCACCCCAACAAAAAAGTGTGCGAGTATCATTCCGAACAAGGGAACATGCTTCGGTTCTTGCCAGCCTGGTTCTGGCGTTCTTCCGGATCTGTGTTTATCCAGCTTGTTTGAAGATTTCCTTCTTAGAAACGGTCTGAACTTGTGAGAACAAGTTCATCCTCTCGTCTGCACAGAGCTCGGACACTCCGTCGGACGACTGCCTGACTGCCATCGGATGGCACGGTGTCCAATAAACAAGGCATTATTTTACATCAAAAAAGACACAAACACATACCAGGACCCTCCGACTGGTCACCAATTGAGACCTGTTAGGGTCCAACAACCCTCAACTAACAGCCTGGCCAGGAGGGTGCTGGTATATGAAAAAATGTATGGTGATTACTCTTCTATCCCGGGGGTCTGTATATATACTTGAACACACACACACACACACTCTCTCGCTCTCTCGATGGGCTATATGGGTCGCTTGGCGTGCTGACTCGAAGACTGGCAACCGACGTGTTTTTGAGTGTGTATAAGGAGAGCCCCTGGCCGCTGGGTAGATTGGCCCATTTGGAGACACACTTACTGTTGTTTGGAATTTCCAAGTACCTTCCGATAAGGTATGTGGATCGCCAGCTTAAATTTCCATCGCCTCCATCAATCCACACTGTGAAAAGATTCAATGACCAGACCCATCAATCTACCTAGCCATCTAACCAGGTTTTAACTACCGCCTAATGCTTCTAAATCTTGCAGCAATTCTAAATACATCCAAACTGTCTTGAAAACGTATCCAAGCCATTCCAAGCTTCCAATAAGGTCAAGGCCCCCATGACCAGCTCCACGATCTCTGCCAGCTTTTCCAAGTTGGGCTCCACAAGTACCTGCGCTGCAGCCAGCGCCAGGGAGGCATCCGCCACCTGCTGCGCGCTGCCCGCGTCACGTGCTGCTTGCAAGGCTGCCTCGCTCGCACCGTGTTCCCCCGTGGTCACGCCGTAGGTCTCGCAAGGGTTAAGGAGAACGAGATGGTGGCAAGAACGCCGGTCTTGGTGAATGCAAGAACGCCGGTGTTCTGCAAAGAACTGGGAATGCTGAACCCCAAAACCATGCGCTACAAGCGCAACCCAGCAACAAGGAATGGAACCATGGCAAACAAATGTTTAAACATTGTCATGGAAAAAGAATTGTTGCCTACTCTGTCATACTATATATATATATATACATTATGCCCTGATCACTGTCCTGATCATTTGTAGGCCGAAACAGGATTTGGACCTGTTGTGCTATCCCAAAGTCCTCAATTGGTCGAAAGTCGAATCTTGCTTCATCCGAGTGTGGACGCAAAGAGGCAAATTCCGTGGCGACAACCCCATGCCATACTTGACGTAAAATGCTCTGTAGTCTTGGTCAAACTCTGAAAGCTCCCAATGTGTACCATATGTTTCAAACATCCAGCAGGCACATCAACATGTATGCTTGTTGTTGCATTCAACTCTGGTGTTTTTGGCCACATTGGGCCCAGCAACCCTTCCCAAGGTTCCACTTTCGCATCAACAATTTGACTCCTAGTATCATCTATAGTCATACCATATCAAAGAGTCTTCCTTTGGTGTATCAGGGTTTGTCCCTGCAACTAACTAGATATCCTAAACATAGAAATAGCTTAAGCTTAAACGCCTCACGGCACACGATCGCACAGGACGGCACACGGGGGCCTGCGCTTTGGTGACGTCGAGGTCAAATGCGCTGGCTTTGGCTCCCACCAGCTGCTCCAAGCGATTCGTCAGCGCTAAACTAAGCACAGGCAACGTGGAGCCTCAGGCAACATCACTACATGGGGATAGTGCTCGAATAATGACAGCTGGCCTGTAGCCCTGAGTGCGGCCACCATTGCAGGTCTGACCACCTTCCTTCAAAAAGAAAACACATGAATCTCCAACTGTTTGTTAAGCCCACGCTTAATAACAAAAAGACAGAAACTTGACTAATCATGACGAACCTTCTATTTTTGCAGGCTTCGGAATCGTGAACATTCATGAACAACCGATGGTTTCGGATATCACTTGGAGGTCTTGGACTCAAGAGAATGACCAAAACCACTGATTGGATCGGCCAGCCATCAAGATCTAGGTTGCTCATTGCACATAGGGTCCGGCCATTGGTTTTATCTGGCTAAAATGGAGGGTAAAGAGGGGATGGACCATCAAGTTGCTGCGGTCTCGGGGCTGAATTCACACAGCGTCATTGCAGTTGCTCGGATCATTCTGGCCCCGATCTCATGGTCTCGACCTTTAGCTTTGAAGTCCCCAGCATACCGGGCATACCAACTCAGAATTCGCCATGGTCCTTCACCATCGTTCCTCGGTCCCATGGATGTCGAAACCCACCGAGGCACCCTCAGCAGCAGCGAACTTCTTAGCCTCGAAAGAAGCGAGTCGTGCACTCTTCAGTAGGGGGGTAGGCGAGGAGATGGACAACATGTTTGCCATGGACATTCCCTAAGAATCCGAGCCCTCAAACAGATAGGGTTTGGTTCGGCCCCAGACCCCTGCGACTAGGATTCTTAGGGTTATACTTATACCAATGTGTTTACATTAAATGTTATATACATGTTAATACATTAAGTAGTTTCCCATTTTAAAACCAATGTCTTGAGATCGACCACATGTGTTTTTTCCAAAATATGGTTCAACCCAGGAGTCACAAGACGGGGTGCCGAACTTGGAGGCTTAGGGACTAAACACCACCACCGGAGACCTGTTGGAACGACTGCGGTGGAGATGGCCGTGGAGACTGTCCTGCATCACACCATGTCACACCACACGAAGGTCGTGGATTTGCCAAAGGTCGTGGGTGCGGAAACGCTCAACCTCAAGCCTACCCGCAACAGCAACAACAACAACACCACCAACAACAGCAACAGCACCAACAGCACCAACAGCACCACCACCACCACCGCCACCACCACCACCGCCACCACCGCCACCACCCCCACCGCCACCACCACCACCACCACACCCACCACCACCCACCACCACCCACCACCCACCACCCACCACCCGCCACCCGCCACCCACCACCC